AATTAAAAACACCAAAACACGTTCTCCCATCCCATCTCTCTCTCCCCCCTCCCCTCTTTCTCTCCTATCTCTTCCCACCGCCGGGCTCCATTTCGCCGGCCAGAAGGAGTGTGGGTGCGATGCTGCTGTCCTTCTTCTTCCTTTTTTAGTGGAGATTTTGGGTCGCAATTTCAGTGGTGATGGTGGTGGCTGTGGGTGCGATTTGCTGCGATTCGGTGGTCGACGGTGACGGTGGCTGTGGCTGTGGTCTCTTAGCCGGTCGCGACGTTGCTGTCCTTCTTCTTTCGTTGTTCGATCGCGATTTTTGTGATGATTTTGGGTCGCGATTTCAACCCAGCTAAGCAGTAGATTTTCGCGATTTTGGGTCGCAGCAGATTTTCGTGGTGATTTTGGCTGTGGTGGTGGTTGTTGTGTGTGCGATCAACTGTGATGTGGTGGTGGCTATGGGTGCGATCTGCTACGATTTGGTTGTTGGCGGTGGTGGTGGCTGTGGGTGCGATCAGCTGTGATTTGGTGGTTGGCGGCAGTGGTTGGTGCAGACGGTGGTGGTGGCTGTGGGTGAGATTTGGTGGTTGGAGGTGGTCGACGGTGATGGCAGTGGTTGGTGCAGGCGGTGGTGGTGGCTGTGGGTGAGATTTGGTGGTTGGAGGTGGTCGGCGGTGATGGCAGTGGTTGGTGCAGGCGGTGAAGGTTGGCGGTTGGGTTGAAAACAACGAAAACGCGTTTTGGAAATTTTGGCCAAGTTATAACTGAAAACACTCAAAACGACATTTTTGTCGTTTTGTGTTTTCTTTATAAATTTTAAAGTCGTTTTCAAAAACGCGTTTTCGAAAATAGGAAAGAGAACGCGTTTTCACTGTTTTGAAAAATCGAAAACAGAAAACGGCTTGAAAACAACAAAGAGAATATGCCCTTAGCTTTTGATTTCTTGGTGTTGACTTGCTGGTGTAGTCAATATTTGAAAGAATACCAACGAAAACTTTGAAGTCGAAGTACATGTGTTCAATAATGGAGAAAAGCTTGTGCAGTTATATCAGTATATCATAATTAAAATTAACCACTCAACAAAGTTATTCCGCTACAATCTTTACATGGTTAATTAGAATATATAACGTGAATTTAAACATCTAGTCAAATCCTAAGTAATTAATAAAACTGACAAATTGATAAAATTTTCAAAGTTTTTCCATGGTCATATCTCCCCTCGTCTGGCTGAGTGTCTTGAAAACTAGGATTTGAGAAGTCTTCCTACTCCTTGATCCATTTGGCCCAGTTTTGTTTAACAATTACACGTGAGGATTTGAACTATTTATCTCGACAATGTTGAACTTTCAAAATGAAATCACAAAATTCAACAATGTATAAGCAATGTTGTCAAAACCAAATCGGACCGGCCAATTCAATCAAACAAAATCAGGAACCGGTCTTCAATTATGACTAAAATCCACTAGAAATAAAAAGGGGGAAAACCAGACAATAAAAGGTCCAACCATAAAACCAATTGACCCAACACCAATTTTACCAATTATCTTATATTTTATTTTTTTTAAAAAATGGAAAATTAGGTTGTGTACCTTATTAAAATAAGTCTTTTGATTAATACCTTTTGAACTAATTAAAAATTTTAATCAAGTAATAATTACGTCCTAATCTAAACTCAACTCCAACGCCCCAAGTAAAACCCTGAAACCCACTCCTCTCATTTCAACCTCTTCCTCAATTCCTTTTACTAGCACCACGAGCAATTCTTGGAGTCCGAGGAGAGGGAAGGACAATGGCGTGGAGGGGACTATTATCGTCGAATCTAAAGGGACTTAGGCTCCCTTTTTGCCAAACTTCATCTGCTAGTGTGCCGGCTAGGTCATTTGTGGAGAAGAATTACACGAATCTAAAGAAGCAGAATCCTAAGTTCCCAATATTAATCCATGAGTGCAGAGGAATCGAGCCTCAGCTTTAGGCAATATGGGTGTCGAAAGGGGCATTCGGTTGGAAGGCTTGACAGAAAGTAGATGTAAGGGAGGCGTCATTTGGTAATTTTGGGGAATGGAAATTTGAGGTGGGCTTATGATGTTGCTTGGTGGCGGATTTGCGATGTTGGCCGAGGATCATTTGTATTAGGCTTTGCGATGGTGGAGGTTGGAGTGGGATCAAGGTTAGTAGCCCATTGATTGTCGAATTAGTATGTTGCTCGAGTTATATGTCTAACCAATTCTTTTGGTAGCTCTTTGAAAAGTTCAGTGATTAAGCCCCAGTTTGTTGGTCAACATTGTTTTAAATAGTAAATTTTTGAAGAATGTATAGTTAAAAAATAGGAAAATTTTTAGATTTACGTGTAAAATATTTGAGAAATGCTATTCATCCCCACTGGGGATGCATACTCAATCTATGTGGCGTTAATGTGGTATTAAATGATAGGTGAAATTAAATAAGTTAATTTCACCTATCATTTACATCCACATAGACTGGGGATGTATTCCCATTGGGGATGGATAGCATTTTTCAAAATATTTTATTGTGTGAATTTGTAGTTAAAAAAGAGTATATAGAAATTTTTTTTTTCTTGAAAAAAATAAGAGAAACAGAAGCTAAAGTTGACAGAATACGCTTACGAAACGACGAATACATCAATCAAATGATTTGGAGGTAAAACTCTAGGGGTGCAACGCCTAGGGAAACACATGCGCGACTTCCAAGAAAATGAAGTCTTCTTGTTCTTCGAAATTTGGTACAATGATTTAGGTGGTGTTCTCTTCGTGTTTCTGTTTTCTGTTTTATGTTTTGAATTCATTTTGAGTTTAGTATTTTGAGTATCCATTTTGAAATTGTTGAAAATGCGTTCTCTTTGTCATTTTGAAAAATTGTTTTTCAAAATTAAAAACATCAAAACACGTTCTCCCATCCCATCTCTCTCTCTCCCTTCCCCTTTTTCTCTCCTATCTCTTCCCACCGCCGGGCTCCATTTCGCCGGCCAGAAGGAGTGGGGGTACGATGCTGCTGTCCTTCTTCTTCCTTTTTTGGTGGAGATTTTGGGTCGCAATTTCAGTGGTGATGGTGGTGGCTGTGGGTGCGATTTGCTGCGATTCGGTGGTCGACGGTGACGGTGGCCGTGGCAGTGGCAATGGTCTCTTAGCTGATCGCGACGCTGCTGTCCTTTTTCTTTCGTTTTTCGGTCGCGATTTTGTGATGATTTTGGGTCTCGATTTCAACCCAGCTAAGCAGTAGATTTTCTCGATTTTGGGTCGCAGCAGATTTTCGTAGTGATTTTGGCTATGGTGGTGGTTGTTGTGTGTGCGATCAACTGTGATGTGGTGGTGACTATGAGGGCGATCTGCTAAGATTTGGTTGTTGGCAGCGGTGGTGGCTGTGGGTGCGATCAGCTGTGATTTGGTGGTTGGCGACAGTGGTTGGTGCAGACGGTGGTGGTGGCTGTGGGTGAGATTTGGTGGATGGAGGTGGTCGACGGTGATGACAGTGGTTAGTGCAGGCGGTGGTGGTGGCTGTGGGTGAGATTTGGTGGTTGGAGGTGGTCGGCGGTGATGGCAGTGGTTGGTGCAGGCAATGAAGGTTGGCGGTTGGGTTGAAAACAACGAAAATGCGTTTTGGAAATTTTGGCCAAGTTATAACTGAAAACACTCAAAACGACATTTTTGTCGTTTTGTGTTTTCTTTATAAATTTTAAAGTCGTTTTCAAAAACCAATTTTCGAAAATAGGAAAGAGAACGCGTTTACACTGTTTTGGAAAATCGAAAACAGAAAACGGCTTGAAAACAGTAAAGAGAACATGCCCTTAGCTTTTGATTTCTTAGTGTTGACTTGCTGGTGTAGTCAATATTTGAAAGAATACCAACGAAAACATTGAAGTCGAAGTACATGTGTTCAATAATGGAGAAAAGCTTGTACAGTCATATCAGTATATCATAATTAAAATTAACCACTCAACAAAGTTATTCCGCTACAATCTTTACATGGTTAATTAGAATATATAACGTGAATTTAAACATCTAGTCAAATCCTAAGTTATTAATAAAATTGACAAATTGATAAAATTTTCAAAGTTTTTCATGGTCATATCTCCCCTCGTCTGGCTGAGTGTCTTGAAAACTAGGATTTGAGAAGTCTTCCTACTCCTTGATCCATTTGGCCCAGTTTTGTTTAAAAATTACATGTGAGGATTTGAACTATTTATCTCGACAATGTTGAACTTTCAAAATGAAATCACAAAATTCAACAATGTATAAGCAATGTTGTCAAAACCAAATCGGACCGGCCAATTCAATCAAACAAAATCAGGAACCGGTCTTCAATTATGACTAAAATCCACTAGAAATACAAAGGGGGAAAAACCGGACAATAAAAGGTCCAACCATAAAACCAATTGACCCAACACCAATTTTACCAATTATCTTATATTTTATTTTTTTAAAAAAATGGAAAATTAGGTTGTGTACCTTATTAAAATAAGTCTTTTGATTAATACCTTTTGAACTAATTAAAAATTTTAATCAAGTAATAATTACGTCCTAATCTAAACTTAACTCCAACGCCCCAAGTAAAACCTTGAAACCCACTCCTCTCATTTCAACCTCTTCCTCAATTCCTTTTACTAGCACCACGGGCAATTCTTGGAGTCCGAGGAGGGGGAAGGACAATGGCGTGGAGGGGACTATTATCGCCGAATCTAAAGGGACTTAGGCTCATTTTTTGCCAAACTTCATCTGCAAGTGCGCCGGCTAGGTCATTTGTGGAGAAGAATTACACGAATCTAAAGAAACAGAATCCTAAGTTCCCAATATTAATCCATGAGTGCAGAGGAGTCGAGCCTCAGCTTTGGGCAATATGGGTGTCGAAAGGGGCATTCGATTGGAAGGCTTGACAGAAAGTAGATGTAAGGGAGGCGTCATTTGGTAATTTTGGGGAATGGAAATTTGAGGTGGGCTTATGATGTTGCTTGGTGGCGGATTTGCGATGTTGGCCGAGGATCATTTGTATTAGGCTTTGCGATGGTGGAGGTTGGAGTGGGAGCTTGGTGGTGGTTTTGCGATGGTGGCCAAGGATCAGTTGTATTCGGCTTTGTGATGGTGGCAGTTGGAGTGGGGACTTGCAATTGGGAAAGGTGGTCGACAATTTGGGCTGTAGCTAAGGTAGGTGAGGCAGAATACTGGAGGAAGATGGGTCGTCTAGCGATTGGTTTGCAGTGCTGGTGGAGGGTGCAACTGCAGCAGTGGGTTGTGATTGTGATTGTGGTTGTTGGTGGTTCAATTAGCAGAATCAGCGGTGTGTTGCCGGTTTAGGAACAATCGGCAAGGTTTGGTTGTCCGATAGAAACAACGGCGGAAGATGGCTTGATCATGCTTTGATTATGTCACATTTTTCTGTTATTTTATTGAACTCATTCTAATGTTTTAATTGGTGTTTTGTCATTTTTTTTGAATTTCTGTCACTTTTTGTATGTTTGCCACTTTTTAAATCTTTGTCAATGTTTGTCACTTTTTTTAGTCACTTTCTTGATTTTTATCACTTTTTTAGTGACAAACATCAATTTTTAATAAAAATGACATTGCATGTCATTTTTAATAAAAAAAAGTAACACTTAACTTTAAAAGTGACATTGGATCACATTTTTATTGTCACTTTTTGCAACATAATCAGGATGTGGATTTGTCTGAGCGTGGTGATTATTTTAAGAACATGATTACTGGTGTTGCACAAATGAATGAGGATATTTTGATATATTACTTTTTTGAGTTTGTGTCACTTTTTCATTTTGCACAGTATTTTTTACTTCCAATAAACTTTTCACATGATTTTTCAAAACATCTCTAATTTTAAGGGTATTTTTGTAAGTACCCAAAAAAATTGAAACTTCATTGGCCCAATATCCAAATAAGGCCCACAAAGTTTTGTTTAACTAATTGCTAGCCATTTTTATCGTCGCATTCTATCCTTTTTGTTTCGCTCGTTTACTCGCTAACAATTAAAAAGGGATCAGACGATTGTATAAGGGACAAACCTCTTGGAACAAAGTCCCAAAAATAGGTGTTTATTGAATATGAAGATTACAGTTTGGAGGCTAACAAGATGCCTCCAAGGGGCACAAGCACACAAGTACAACGGAATTGAAATAATTTAAGTTAATTTAAGAAGAAGTAAATTACATATTCTATGTTTGAGAGTGAATTTTGTCAGGGCCTTCTTCGTTGTCTTTCTTCTTTCTTTTATACTGCTTGGGGCAGTTTTTAATCGTTTAGAAACTGTTTGTAACTACCCATTTCTTTCATAATGGCCAACTGGCCAATAACTACCGTATGTAACTCATATCACAACGTCTTCTTCATAATTGCTTGTCACCAACTTTCTGAAATCGTGGGGCGTAATTGTGATGTGCTAAAACCGCATCAAATTGTGACTTTGGATAACAGC